ATTATTTGCTTATCATTTCTTTTTAATTTTTATTAATTATTATTCATTTGTTTGAATTATCAACAGGATATTGATAACATTCATTCGAATTGATTAAATAAGTTTCATGTTATTGAAGTTCAATAGCTGAACACCTGGAATTGTCCACTTAAACCGACTTAAGTATTTAGATTTTTAAAAAGCAAGATTGGTGAAATTTCCAAATACTTGTCAGAATATATTCGATATCGAGGTTTATTGATTGTCTATCTTTAGTTGATAAATTTATTAACCGTATCGACATGTCAGATAAAAAAATTGTATAAAAGTTCAGCTTAATAGTAGATTGACTTAATTATTAAGTAAAATTCAAAGAGTTACGAACAAATAAATATTTAGAATGAACAAAATTCGTTTTGCTTTAATTGGAGTTCTTGTTGCTGCGAACTTTATCTTTGTCACGGGAAATCCACTGAGAGATGCCGAAAATTCAGTTGATGATGAATTGCTGGATGATATGAGATTAACTGATGAACAACGAACCTTCATGTTTGGTTCGGAAGGCAAAAATTCCAAAACAGGAACAACTTGGACACCTTGGCACTGGATAAAAAACGAAAGAGGTGAAGTTGTCATTCCCTACAATATCGACCCATCGCAAGGATTTGGTAAGTCTTTCTTTTTAAATGACTACAGAAGATTCAGTGGACTTCAATTTTGTCAACTTTTACACAAGAAAAACATCACATCGATTTTATGCTTCGACAGTTCACAGCCATTTCAAACTCAACATGTGTGCGATTCGTAGAACGAACAGATGAAGAAGATTTCGTTGACATAACAAATGGTAAAGGTTGTTGGTCGTGGGTGGGTCGAATTGGAGGAAGACAAGAATTATCAATGCAGATCAATGGATGCTTCTACGGTGGAACTGCAATGCACGAAATGATTCACGCAATTGGTTTTGGTCATATGCATCTAAACTACAATCGTGATGATTACATAACAATCAATTTTGAAAATGCGAAGGAAGATTATAAATTCGAGAAAGTAGATCCTCGGTACTATAGTAACTTTGACACTCCTTATGATTATTTGTCGGTAATGCATTACCGTAAAACGGCATTTTCAAAGAACGGGAAAGACGTCATCGTACCGCATGATAAAACTTTTCTTGATATCATAGGTAGGGTTGGGATGTTGTCAGCAGGCGACGCTTTAAGAATTAACAGAATGTATGAATGCTCTATTGTTAAGGAAATCCCGGAAGAGACTACAACAGTCACTCAAGATACTTCCACTGT